AAAAAAAACCTAAGATAAAAATTAGAAACCCTTGAAAAGATTAGTTTGTCATTACATACTAGAAGACTGCCTTGAATCCCGAGATTTCCAGAACTGAAGGTTTTGGGACAGCTTTATTTGACAAGCCAAGCTTTACAGAATTTCTGTAAGCCTCACCTTTCTTTTCCTTTATTGTTCTCCTGGAAAATCCAGTAACAAAGCACATGTTACTGAAAAGTAACAAGGTAAATGGGAAAAGGGTTAAATGGCAATAAAGCCAGAAAAACAAATCTTAAAAGTTATGATGTTTTGCTCCCTTGTCAGCTCAGTGTTCTCCTTTATTTTTACTTCTACAATTCTCATTAAATATGAGCCATTTGTTATCATTTTTAAGCCCTTAGGTTGTTTTTTTTTTCATTTCCTGGGGCTTTGTCACCTTAACTGTGAAATGGTAATGTAGCATTGCCAAAGATTTTCAAGCTTTCTGATGCCGTAACTGTTCCCTACTTTTGTATTTCTCTATGACGAAATTAACGAATTAAAAATTAATAAATTACTTTAGTAAATTGAGGCTAGGAGCTAGGGAATGGCAGAGGCACCAGACCTTAATAAATTACTTTAAACTAGTAAATTGAGGCTTGGAGCTAGGGAATGGCAGAGGCACCAGACCTGGCAGCTGGATGGAAAAACCAGGAGCCATAGCGAAGGCTGGCGCGCCGGCTGTCTGGCACAGAGACTTCCCTTACCCAAAGGAGAGCCCTCGGGGGAAGCCCTTCTGCTTCCCTTCACAAGGGTCTCTGGCTTCAGCTCCACTTAGCGCCAGTTAGGTCTCTTCAAGAGCTGATGAGTGAGCCTCAAACTTAACACGTCAGTGTCTGCGACAGACACGTTACCAAAGGTTTCTGCTCTTTCTTTTTTGTACTTAATATGCAAAACTTAGTTCGTATTTATAAATATGTCACATCTCAGATGTTTCATGCCAATTCAACTTCACTTTTCATATATAGCTACATTGGATAAATGTAAAAACTTGTGTTGCCAGAAGGAGATCAAATATTTTTCCTTTGCTACCTCCATAATTCTATTTTCAATATTAATGTTGTACTCCAAATAGATCAGTTGAAGAAATTAATCAGTAAAGGGAAGAAAAAATAGGACGTGTCAGGAAAATGAATTATAAACACAGGCTTATCTTCCTCAAGCTTAGGGAAAACAGCTAACCAAACATCGCTTCTGGTCAGGAAATTATCTTATTCATGAATACCAATTTAAATGTCATTCTTCCCCAATGAGTTTGAATTCTGGAAGGGCGAATGAAGGGCATGTTTCTGATGCATCCCAAGCACCTGATGACGAGCGACAGGTTCAATGGCCTACGACTGCCTGCAGGAGCACACTGTGGCAACCGTTGGCGTGGATCTGAAGGATGCCCACCAGAATCTGGGAACGACTAACCCTGCATGACCGCACCTGCAAGAAACTACAACTCCCTTCCAGGACTAACCAAGTTTGGTCTTATCACGCGGAGAGAAATTATGGCAAGATATAAATGCGTTCAGGACGATTTACAGAGTAATCTATTTTTTTCTAGCTTATTTTCTGTGACTTTTGACAGTGGGCTCTAATAAAAGCATGTGGGCAGTCAGATTGAAAGAATATGAAACTACTTGGGAGGTTTGGAGTCAGTTAACGTTATCAAATTTGAGACACATCTCACTGAGTCTTGGAAAGGAGCTACTGGCTGATGTTTTCAAGAAATTGCCTACATAACTCTAAACACAATTAATTCAAAGGTAATACTGTTCAGCTGCCAGGCTTGCAACGGTTGGGATTTTCCAAAGGGAAGATTTGTTGAGAAAAATATTTTTATTAAAGACACTAATGTGGCCTCTTGTTCTTACTCGTGATTTCTGTGATCTTACCACAAAGTTCAAGAGAAGCCACCCGCAGAGATAAAAACGTTGCAAGCTGATGAAGCAGTTTCAGTAAGGCCAAAAAGTGAGACAAATGCCCAAAAAGGAAGGCTGAGTATCTGCAGAAATTTGATGCTAAAACTATGCCAAAACTGTGATAAGTTGCACCTGCATCCCACACATGCAAATAAAACCACACTAGACTAGAGGAGAAGAAAAAGACTGATGGTCCTGACCCTAAATATCAAGCACTAAAAATTCAGAAATGTAGCCAATATGGGCAGACAGGCACACACACCGAGGGACTATCACGAACGCGCTGATACCTCCCGGTCAGATGCCGATAACTGTGCCAAGTATTAAAAGCCTGTTAATGCAGTTCTTAATAAGCCTCAGGAGATACGCAGGAAATAGTGCTTGAGGTCTTTTAAAATAGTATAGTCTTAATCATCAGTCATGGCGCATTTCTGTTTTGTTTGTTTCTGTCTTGAGTGACAACATAAAGGATTACCTTTCGGTGAGAGAATGAAACCAAGACGCAAATGTTAATATCACATTTTCATTCTGTGAAAGAACTATTTAAAAATATACAGCAATTTTGTGATTAGGACTGGGGTTCAAAATTTGAGTCAAGCCCCAGCCTCAGACAGACACTTCCTCTTCTGACCTTGACCAGGTCACGTGCCGGTCCCTCTGCCATCCACATAAAACACCTCTTAACCCATACACGTCAAAAAATAACAAGTATCAGCAGTCATGAGACACAGATGATGGAAGGCACACACGTACCCACCTAGGCAGAAAGGAAGTCTCTGAGGCACTTTCATGCAGAGACAGACATACTGCATAACCGAAAAACAAAGCCGAGAAATAAAACTGAAAGAGGGAGGTTTCCATGCTCCGGTACCCACAGGCTATGCTCTTCTCAGCTCAGCGTCAAACCCCACCGCTCCACCCAGCTACCCGCTTCTGTCCGTGGGGTTTCAGACATCATGGACTCAAACATTTAGCTTGTTAAGGAGGAATGAAGAAGCAGCAGCTCTGCATGTGTACATTTGTTTAAGATTATTTTGAAATTCTGTATTCACCCAGGGTCATAATCATCACTTTCAGCTGCAGCTACTGCATATGTAAAACTGTAATTTTCATTTATTCCAGGAGGCTCTGACAAAATGGCAAAATCAGACATAATTCGAGAAGAAAAAGCAGTGATGATATATGTAATAGATGTGCCGCAGAACAATGACAACACAGTATGGTGTTATATTAATACAAATAACCCCTTTTTAATACGACTCAGTTTGCCACACTCATTATTCTAGAGATCCCGCAGTCGACAATGCAGTGAAATGCAGACAGACGTGTAAACAGATGCAGCGATGATGTATGTTTGCTGTCATTAATTTAACACAGGCAACTGACCTAGTCAAATACCACCTAATGTTACATAAAGTTTGCTGAGTGGTTTCTGAGTGTACTCTGCTAGATGCTGGTTTGACCATAACAGTATCTTATTAGAAACAAGTACAGATGCACCTCAAGAGTCTACTTGAAAAACTACTTTTATAAATAGGCCCAACTCTGCAATCAAGCTTCTGCTCTTATGAGCGGAAACTATACCATGTATTTTAAATTAGCAATTAACTAAGCCATCATCCATAAAGCAGCTGTTAGAAGAACGCATTGAGACTGACATCAGTTGAGGTCCAGCAGACTGTTATCCAACTGGAAGGATAAAAGAAATGAAAGAGTTTTGCAATACATTAACTTCTTTCAATGTGTAACCATCTTCAAAGAAGCAAAACTTCATAAAAAATTATGTACAAGAGGCCACCTTATTCACTAGGAGGTGCTCTCCTTCACCAGAGAGCAGAAATTCCTTTATGAAGAGACAGTAATATTCTTTTCCCTTCTATGCAAACCTGGAAAAAAGTGAGAAATAACAGAATACTGCAAAGATGATGTTAATGTGATAGAAAATTGTTTCAAATACATTTCCAAAGTTTGTTCCCTCCTACCCACAGCCAAAAAATATCTGTAATTGGTGAAAGAAAGAAACTATTACCAAAAACCTAGAGACCAATCAACGAACAGTGGCTTGCTACAGAATTGCTGCAAGTAGCAAGGAGCTTCATGCAGCAGTCCGTATCTTCCCACACTCAGGCTGCCCCCCTTACCCAGGCTGGGTTTATCTAACCTGAAATCACATCTAGCCAGGGATGTAATTCTGAAGATGGCTGTGACCGTCCCACAGTCTGTGCCTTTGAGCCTTGCCCAGAAACGCACCGGACAATAAGCTCCCCAGCAGGCCAACGAAGCTGACGATGCACACCAACTCCAACCAGCTAAACAACTGTCTTCTTTTTATTTTCTCCCTTCAACTGCATCTGCATGCTATGGCACTGTGTGAATAAATATGCAGGACACAGTACCAAAGGGACAAGCATCGCACATTAGGTGACAGCAGGTAGCCCCCCCCAGTCTCTTGCAGTGATCTGCTCCCACATTCCTCACAATCCATGAGCTAAGTGCAATCACAGAGAAACACTGGCTAGTCCTCACAACCAACAGCAGACTCAAACCCACAAGGTAAGAGGCTGTGAAAGCATCCTCATTTGTTACTCAGTAAGAAAGGGGACATTCAGCCTCGTGCTGAGATATTCAAGCTTTAAAATCCTTACCAACCTTGGTTCACAAGCGTTAGAAGCTGGTAACTCAACTACAAAGAAAATGAATGACTGGTTCACGTTATACAGATGTTACCACAGTTTTCATGAGGTTAAAAATAAACAGTACAGTAAGAGAATGCAAAGCAACATTTTTCAACACAAGCAGCAAAATGCAGTACTGAATGAGTGCTGGTTGATGAGCATGCCAACGTCTCTGTAAAGGAACTCTTTTAGGAGAAAGGAGAACTTGCACATGGGAAACCTTTACTGTGCACACACTGCATATACTGTAGTTACAGGCATTTCCAACAACATGAAGGTTAGGTTCAAGGGGAGTTCCGGGGCGAGGTAAAGGTGAGGAGAAAGCTAGCAAGGATCCATCTGTGCAGGCATTTTCAACAACAAACAAGTTATCTGTATGTGTATTATAAATTCTCACCATGCTTCTGAGGCCCAACCTCACATCATTGGCCATCTCCAGACAGAAAGGGAAAGGAAGACGTGGGAAGAAAAAAAAGGATCAAGATAGTGAGGCTACTAATGTAATTAATATTTCACTGTTTTTAGCAAACATATACTTACTACTTGTTATACTTCTGGTTTGAAATAGCAAATTCTAGCCACTGCAAACAAAGAGGATGGCCCTGAAGAGGGGGGTGTTTTCACAATTCAACTACATCTAAAATGACCCTGTGAGGTGACAGATTTTTCCATTACAAAGTAAAGATTAAATTCACGAAGGTTCTGTTCCAAAACTCACTAAAAATTAATGGATTCTTTACCTTGCTTTACACAGCTTTTAAATCCTAAATTATTATCTAGTCCATAAGGGATGTAATTTTTCACTCTACTGAGCCCAAAGCAAAGCACTGCTACCCTTTAACAGTCTGATTTACTCTACCGGAGCATCAGGCATAACAGATTGCTCTATCATCGTCCTTCTTCACCATTCCAGCCTAGTCAAATCAAAATCCCAAAAGTTCCCATTTTTTCCTATTATGCCAGGAGTACAAGAGCGAGTTGGCACAGGAGACACAAGGAGTTGCTTCTACAACCTGTTTGATGCCCAGCGACAGTTGCCTTGCAAAGCCTCTCCTCTCCACTCCAGCTGCGTGAAAACCTTAGAAAACTCTTACTCCTGACTATTAGCCACAAATGTTTTCATTAAAAACTGAATTTTGAAAAGGTTTCTGCACCCCCATTCAGGGCTGTATTTTGGAAACTGCCCAAGCTCCTATTTCAACATGAGAAAAGACACGGCCAGCCAAATCATTAAAATAGCTCAGCATAATAAAAATCTGGCCACCAGTTTCCCAAAAGAGAACTCTTGGATACTAAATACTTCTGAAGAAATAGTACTCGTTATGTTGAGGAAGTCCGAGTAGGTCTTTTCTATATATGTGCTTATAAACGTGGTTCTGAACTTTAGGGAAAAAAAAACCCAACCCACAAATTTTAAAAAAAAAAAAAAAATAAAATTCCACCATATTAGTACCTTTGATTCTTTAATATTTTGCTAATATTGAGCACAGGTTATTTCAGGTATTATAAAATTATTTAAGTTCAATTGATAAATAGATTTATAAATTGCTTGTTAATATTATTGTACGTTAACTTCAATTTTCAGCAAATCACTTCAATGCACATGTTTATGCTTTATGCAGTTTATGCTTTATACATGTTGGTTTCAAAGCAACTCAAGTTTGACCCTACACCACTAAAATGAATGGAAGTGTTTTGATGATCTGGGTGTGATCAGGATCAAACTCTTATTTAATTTTATGTACATGTTTAAATGCTTAGTTGGATTAAGGCCTAAGGCACTTTATAAACCACAAAAATGTGAAAAAAAATATTGAGAAAACAGTCACATTTTATGTTTTTTATTTTAAACTTTTACTGATTTTGTTATTACTGAACATTCAACACCCCCTCAAAAAGTCAGCTTTAAAATACCACTGTAGGCTGAGATAAAATATACAAACATTAGCTCCGTAAACATTGTGTGAGGAATCTAAAAGAATCTGACACATTAAGGCTCCAATTCAGTAAAATACCTAAGCTCATGCCAAGCACATGAGTACCCACAGAAGTTCTCTGGGATAGGTGATGTAATGCAACTTAAGCAAGTACTTAAATTCATCACCAAACTGGAACTTTAAGCAGGTTGCTTCTTTCCGACTTCCCTGCATGGCAACATTCACTTTTTAAGCTTATTTCCGTGCAATTATTCCCCCCCGCCCCCCTACGGTTCATGCAGAGTAAGTCCGGATTATACCCCTAGGAATCCCATTAGCAGGGTTTTCTTACACGGCTGAGAGAAAAATTAAACCAAACACAAAAATCCCTTCCTTGCAGCTAGGGAAATACGCTGGAACCAAACTTGAATGCTTCAATACTGCTTTGGGTGGCAGAAGCCTGGGCCCAGTGTCAGTAATCATGGGGATGACATGTCACTCTTAAATCCATTACAGCCTTGACCTAAATCTATGGTGATCAATAGCAGAAGTTGACTGATTTCACCGGATTCTCGATGAGCACACTGTCTGTGACCAGGTATTACAGAATATCTGGTTCACCGTTGGGGACCTCTCAGGAGAAAATCTTCTTTCTTCACTCACGTACAAAGCCAACACTGAGTTAGTTAAGATGCCCTTCCAGCTATTACCAGTTTCTGTACAAGGCAATTTATATATTACATCCTCCTCGTCTTTTCTTTTTCTTTAACTGATTCTTCCAGCTTATACTTCATCATCAAACGACATTAAACTTTGCATTCTGGGATGACTGATTCCTAACACTGCTTTGCTGATTTAAAAATGCTAGTTAAATGAAGTTTCTCAGCTTATTATGCTCAAAGCTAGTTTGAAACTGAATATCTAGATGGCATTAAAATGCATTATTTTGCCAGCGTTTGCATTATTTATTTTCCCGAAAAAACTTTATTTATTCTTAGAAAAGTAGAATACAATACAGTGGTACAAACAAATGATCATTTATATGCAACTGAGCAAAAAATGTACAAAGATTTCAGACATGTCATAAAAATACAGAAAAAAATAATTTAAAATAAAAACAAGGTAAAATATAGCGGACATGCAATGAAGGGAAAACAAAGTATCAGTTTGATGATCTCATGTTTCCTTTCACTCTCAAAAGGAACCATCCTGGGGGAAATCAAATTGTCAGATAAAAACACCACAACGGAGACAAGGTAAATGAAGTGACAAAGACAAGGAAAGTGAAAATTATGGTGAAAGCATAAGACTCTTTAATAATCAAAAACAACACTGCTGACGCCATGCTGAAGGTACGGAAGCCTCGATTGCCATGGAATAGTATCTGGTTGGAGAACTGAAGTGAGATGAATACGCTGCAAACCACAATTCTTAGCAGTGACACACTTTGATCCATTGGACTCGTATCTGCTAGCTCGTATTTCCACTTCTAAGGTACACTGGGGTTCACAGTCTTCTAATGCCAGAGGAGAATCCTAGTGGGTAACTTTCATGGCTGCTAAAGCTGGAAGTATGGATTTTTGAGGTAGGCTGGAATTTGCGTATCATCGAACAAGGAAACAGGGGAACTCAAGGCAGATCACACAAGGCTGCCCCGGCCAGAGATACAGGTTTTCCTTCTTTCATCCTGCATACTGCCAAGATATTTGTGGTAACTTTTAGAGTAATTTTGCTACCTCCCACTATCCTATAGCGCTAGAAAGTATTGCAGAGTCTAGACTTCTTGAGATTCAATAACATTTAAAACATCATTAAGCTGGGAGTAGCAGGAAACAGGAATGATAAGATGCTGTTACTAGTACACAAGTCTGTTCCCACACTAGACAGTACCTGAATTGTTGCCCCTTTTAATAATTTAAAAAGTGAAAACAGGAAAGTGAAGAGAGTCTGTTGAATAAAATGATTTTGTAGAAGCGTGAGAAAGTTAAGAAATCACAAACTAAGCTGTGAAGACTGTGGTTGTGAATGAATTATAAATTTGACACAAGTTATGAGGCAATAACTAGTAGCAACTCAGGAGGTGTAAAATTATGGTATTCCTTAACCAGTAAAAAACCGAAATCTTCATGCGCTACAAAATCGCAAACACACCGGGTACAGTTTCTGACACACTCACATTGCTAGGAGTAGCACAGTTGGTTTGTAGACAATGTATTTCTGATTTATAACATATATTAGCTGAGCTAAGAAAGAATCAAATGAAGAATTTCTTGAGATCATTCTAACATTGTCTTTCAAGAGCTATATTAACACTAAGTGAATCTATCACTTTTTATGGAAGATGCAACAAGTATCAGTTCCCAGCAAAAAAATCATCCCGTATAACTGACTAATTTTCTTTGATGTGGGGTTGCCTGTTAATTTGTTTTTAGTGAATACATCTTGTGCACAGTGAAAAATGCGGGAATTCAACTTTCTTTCCACAAATAGTATGATATTTTATCTTTGCTTCTAAGTTTTCATTGTTTTGGAGTATAGTATGTGGATGAACAAGGAGCGCTCTCTTAATAGTTCTGAAGAGATCTCAGAAGTAATAATCTTCAGGGGGAACAGTACATCACAGTGAGACACAGCTGATAAAGCACAGAGGATGCTGGGGAGTCCCCTGCAGTAAGCAGCTGCGCTTGGCTGTAATGACAATGAAGATTTGAAAACTGTCTTTCAGTGTGTAAAATGGAATAAAAGATACCAACAACCTGATGATGTGGCAAAGCCCTTGGCAGCTAAATGATCCAAATTATATTATAGCTTACTGGTATCATGAAATAAATGCATAGGACTCACACCAAAAGATACAGAAATCCAGGGATAACTATTGAAAGCTCGACATTTCTATGGTACCAGGTTTCAGTAACTTTATCTGATTGCTCAGTTATTCAAAAGGGACATAGAGTGACTGAACAGATTCCAGAATAAGCATTAATTTTCATTTTTTATTTGACAACTCTCCGAATCCCTTCCCTTCCCTTCCCTTCCCTTCCCTTCCCTTTAGACAATGTATTTCTGATTTATAACATATATTAGCTGAGCTAAGAAAGAATCAAATGAAGAATTTCTTGAGATCATTCTAACATTGTCTTTCAAGAGCTATATTAACACTAAGTGAATCTATCACTTTTTATGGAAGATGCAACAAGTATCAGTTCCCAGCAAAAAAATCATCCCGTATAACTGACTAATTTTCTTTGATGTGGGGTTGCCTGTTAATTTGTTTTTAGTGAATACATCTTGTGCACAGTGAAAAATGCGGGAATTCAACTTTCTTTCCACAAATAGTATGATATTTTATCTTTGCTTCTAAGTTTTCATTGTTTTGGAGTATAGTATGTGGATGAACAAGGAGCGCTCTCTTAATAGTTCTGAAGAGATCTCAGAAGTAATAATCTTCAGGGGGAACAGTACATCACAGTGAGACACAGCTGATAAAGCACAGAGGATGCTGGGGAGTCCCCTGCAG